CGACTTCCACGGACTGGACAGGTGCTCTTACTGTGCTTCCTGTGGTTTACATGTTAGGGAGTCTGGGCTATGACCACATTCGCGCAAGTTAGATTGACAGACAGGTGCTATACGAGAGCTCTGTAGTGCCATCAAGTATCAAAAAAGCACACTCGATTTTATGAAGTATAGTTTTTCCAACTTCGTTTTTAAGGGATAAATGTTGCCAAAGTTCGTTTGTACAAGATATTATTTTTATATTGTCCAGTTTGTTCTCATCATGTATGAGATCTATTTTTGGAACTTAAACACTGTTTCCCGTTTGGAAACCGTGTTGTTTAGTACGTCCGGAGTGAGGCAATTTTTTTACCGAGTTTGGTTTTACAAAATTTTTCAAGAGATGATATATAATTTGGTCAAAGGCTGGTCATTTGGATGAAATTTGATGACAAAATGTTCAACATTTAATGGCAAAACATGAATGATGTCTCTCTCGTACCGACTACAACTAGAACTTGAGTTTTCTATAAAGTATCAGATTGGACAATTCTAAAATGCTCTGAAGCATTTCAGAACCAGAAGAAGATTCAAAAGCAACAGTATCAACAACGTTAACAGAATTATTAACCTCATCTAACGTCCAAATGCCACCAAAGTTTTTATCAACTTGGTGTGATGACGGGTGGGTCCGGCCTCCATTCTGGTCACAATCATCGAAATACTGTATGGCGACTATTTCGTGACAAGGCACCGCATAAACATTCAATTGGAAAATATCTGAAGGCCGACCAAGTCTAAAGATATATACATGTACATGTATATGAGGCAAACTCAGAACGGTATGTGCACGGGACCAGAGGCCAATCCACATTTATACACTGACAAACGATAAGAGTGGACCGTGACGAAGGAACCGCCCGTCATCCGATGCCAATTCTTCAGGATCTTGCCAACTCCATCATAAGCATATATGATCAGTGCGCCTCAGTGGTCGATTTCATACAGGTTGATTGATGTTGATCGACACAAATCCATTTATTGCCGTGCAAAGATTCACATTAGGTGCCGCCAATTTTTGCATACCCGTATCCATATCAAAATTGGGATTATACATCGCCGCTGCCCATCCACAATTAACGTGGAATAACTTGCCCCTCTCACCAGTCATTAGTGTCCGTCTTATTTGTGTCAATTTAAAAGCACTTTTTCCGAGTAGCATTCTGTTGCGCGTCTAGCCCTGCGCCAAGGCGGCTGAAGCCGTTTTGGTTGAATCAGGGCGAAAATGTAAGCTGCCCATGTAAGCTGCCACGTGACCCGTATCAATTAGATGGTCTGACAACGAGTCAGGAATCTCTTCTGATACAAATTTGGGGCCTTTCCTATGGGAAGAAACGACAATTTGGGTATTTTCAAAACAAACCTTTGGAAATGAAAAGGAATACACTCTATCACCGAAATCACCTTTCTCTTTCACCCCGACCATGACTTGCTCCCTTTTTATTATATTCAGTGTGATATGTGGCAAAGGGGGAACTCCTTAATGTAATGCCTAAGGCTACTTCATCCCCATGAAAATCTGAAAGGAATTCCATTCCGTCAACACAAAAGAAGACGCAATAGAGGGGGGTCCCCCATTGCCACATAAATTATCACGCATCAAATCTTTTTGAAACGATCATTGGTAGATGCGAAAATCTGGGGAAAGTTGCGGTGATGTGTCAAGCGAGGCGCATGGGAAAAGCCCCTTCCCCCGAGACATCACTTCACGTGCCGGCACGATTGTAAAGCAAATGGTACTATACTAGCGTACTACCTTTCTGCGGAAGAAAAACATACTTAGACACACTTTTAAGGTGGCAATCGATCATTGGGCGTCGAGGAGACTGCCCCCTCCTGGGAAAAATGACCTATTCCAATCAAGACTTCCCGTCTCTCATACAAACTGGTACCCAATGCAAGCAGGGAAGAGTCTAATGGTGAAGTTCACCTTTATTGCGTCGCTTGTTCACATTACATAAATGAATGTATGAAAACATAAAGAAAATCTTGCAGCTTTGTTTAATCCTCTCTACTTCCGATTAATATTTCTGCATGTAAAAACCATTTTAGGAAACAACAAACATAAATGTCTGAAACATTTCATTTCGGTGGATAGAAATAAACTGTTTACCTTAATTAAACAAATTTCCTGTATAAAATACAAAATGTAAGCCTAAGCAACCTCCTTCGCCTCTCCCAGCCTGTGAACAATTCAGCCCATTAGCCGTCTGAACATTTCACTATCGAGTTTAGGAAAGATGTATCCTCCATGTAGTACCAGAGTACACCAAAATTATGTTTACGAAAACAAAAGCCCTAAATGGCACTTTGCATCATGGGACTACAACCAATTTATCGAAAGTCTTTTTTCCAGCACCAATGAATATAACTGACCCGCGTGGAAGGCCCTTGACTGCCCCCAGACCCGAGTTGGCCAATGTAACGACCTAGAATCCACAAACACGGAGCAACACTAAGCAAGAACGATCCGACGATGCGATTTGAAATACACGTGAAACTAACTGGATTCTGAACATTACATTTAAACACTATATTTTATGACATGAAAAACGTCTTCATTTACAGCTGCCTGGGTGCACTTTGCGTTTGGTTTGGTATATCAAGACTTGAAAAGCTCACAAAATTCAGCATGCAAGAATGCATAGTAATTCACACAGCTTGCCATTTTGTCCTCATGCAGTGGACCTAAAGTTCGTAAACAGAATTCACAGTACTTTTCGATCATTTTACCACGATTTCACATCCAAAATGGCAAGTGATACAGACACATCGAACCTTTCCAAGATTCTAGGATCTGCAAGATTGACGAGTACCCATACGCTCTCTACAACAGGGTCGAGCATATTTACTAAGCACGTTACCCATTTCATGCACGCGCATTATTTTGCGTGTAATGCAACAGCCAAGCTCTGGAATCACTGATGAACACCAACACCGATACCCATTTGCACACTGAACGCACCCGGTACCCAGACGAGCACTTCTTTAGGTCTAATAGAGAGGTGAAGGCATTTCTAATGGAGAGAGAATGCATCTTGTTTTGAAGGAAAAGCTGGAAAAGGTTCCCGAACTTTTGTCTGGCAAGAGGTACGTAACCTCGACCACTTTGGAAACGACCAAACTTCAGCAAGACCGTAAATACATCCTCTTTAAAAATACTCCAGAAAAATAACAAGATATCAAAACAGTACCTGTTCTATTCCAGAGATCAGTGGGTCTAGATGTAATAATCTCGAAAGGTGGTTACCTAAATACATGTAATATATTTTACATTGTAACAAACGTCGAGGTGCACAATGAAGCTTGTGAACTATGCGCCACAAATATAAAAAAAAATAATGCTGTTCGGCAGGAATTTTCAGCAGATAAGGGAAGTAGCACGCACTCTTAAAGTAATACAGATGAACTTCTTTAAACGGGTTAGTATAAATACACCACACTAAAAAATCCACACTATTGTTTAAACCACCATATAAAAACACCATATAAAACATCTATAAATCCCTGCTATTGTTTAAAACACAATGATCTTGAACTAAAAAATGTAATCTTTGGCGATTTCCTATTTCTTTCATTTTAACATTTTAGGATAATGTATTTGCTGCCTTGAAACATACACAAATATACTGATATCAGATTCAAAAACAGTCAAAATAGACATACTGTGCAATTGGTCCTTTGAATTATTGCAGTCGTCTACAGTCTGTTAAAAAATCACCAACCTTACCCTCTTTAAAACTTTCATTCCACTGCAGAATTAAACTTCAACTACAATCATCAAATGTCAACAAGCTAATCGTGTAGTCTTGAGTAAAGGCACAATGTTTTTAAAATGAGCTTTGGCAAAGGTATTTTTCACTGTTCCTTCACAGTAACCTGTTGGCGTAGATGCATATACATACACATGTATGCATGTGCAGCCTCAATTTCTCGGATACCATTTTGACAGATTTCTGACCTGACTAGGTTCTTAATGCACCTTTCTGTTTCAGTTAATCTAGTTTTAATCTTTTTGTTTGGTGGTTTCAAGAATATGTTGGTCACAGTTGGTATATTTTGAATCCTAATTATGCTGATTTCCATATTCATGAGCAAAACTGTGATGTCATTCAGGGAAAATAAGCATGAATGCTGCATAGCCCGGGGGAACAAAAACAATTTGGGCTGATACTGTTTGATACCTAGCTGTCAAAATATTTCGTTTTGGGAAGTGATTCACTGTTGTGAAAGTACACTGCAATGGGCTCCGACGTGGACCAAGAGAGGGCACAGTTTTCTTAGCAACGGAGGCTCCTTTGGTAGTAACTGTGCATTGCTGGTTCACGACCGACTACGAAATGCAGGCATTGAAGTCATATCACTACCAACAAACTGAACACTTCCGACAAACATGGTTCTTTTTAACCGATGAGGGGGTGATTCCGCCGGAGGCGGATAACCCAAGTACAAATGTTTTCAATACACAAACTTTTGGCTCCAAATTCAAACCAAAAACACCCATGAACGAAAAAGTGACTTCCTTGAGTGACATCACAACAGAGCCCTCACTAATCTGGATAAAGCATGAACAATTTCAAACGTATAAAAATGAGTATTTCCAATATTCTTAATTCATGAAAAACAGGATGTACATGTACGTGTAAGACAAATGTACATGTACAAGTAACAAAATAGGTTTTCACACATGTAATTGTACCTTAGGAAAAAAAACAGACAATAAAGTTACATAAAAAATGTCCCTCACAAAAACGAATCACATAGACCCTTTAACAGTTGACATTTTCACCCTGAATCAGGGTTCCAGCGGGTAGTCACCACCCTGGCCAAATGGCAAAAAAAATACCAAGTCTGTCCTTCATGCTAAGCAAACTGGTGATAAAAATATATGAAATTTTAGCAATGCATGAAAACTAAGCAGCTGAAATGTGCATTACTTTAAACTGGAACTTTTGTGACAAATTTGCCGGCTGGAACCGTGTCCACGGATCACAACGCTCTCTTTTAGTCCCTTGGCAACCAATTCAAATAATCCAAAAATTCAGAGAATGATACAGTGCCATCCCCACCCTTGTCGATTGCCTTCAGGCCAGCATCCAGCTGCTCTCGCCTGGCCCCAATAGAAAGTAGGAGCTCATGCACTTCAGCCCTCTCCAGCCTCCCGCTGCCGTCCTTATCGAACTTCTTGAACATGTCCATGGCCTTGCTGACATAGTGGAAGCGAGAACAGTCGTCGATGTTGGAGAAGCGGTCTCCACTCTTTAACCAGTCGTAGAATTCCTGGAAGGTGACCCTCTGGTTCCCGTCTTTGTCCACCAGCATGATGAAGGCTTCGGCTTTGGTCTTGTTCATGCCAAAGTTGTCTTGGGCCATGATCTTCAGCTCATCCATGGTGAGGGAGCCGTTGCCATCCTTGTCATACTTCATGAAGAGACTCTTCAAGACCACAAGCGGCACGTCGCTGTTGAAAATGCTCATCTTGGTAAACTGTGCAAAATAACTGACCAGAGAGACCAAAAAAATATTACGATTGAAGATACAGAATCTGATAAACTTCCTAACAAGAGAAATGGTTTGGGACCTATGGAATTCGCAACAATTTTGTTTTAACACATTTGATGAAATATCGAAACACTTTCAAAACAGGATAATGTTGGGAGTAAGCTGATATACTGTACTTGGCTTATGAAATACATTTGGTTTCCTGAGATACAACACATATATGTGAGCCGCTCCAGGAAAAAGTGATATAGGTTGCCATGGTTACACCACGCATTTACGAGCGATGATCCGATCAACGTTGGATTAAAAAATTCCTCTTTTCCGACAAAATCATTGAAAATACTAATTCCTTAGTCCTTGTGCACATTTTGCAGGTGGTTGTAACACAAGAGCACGTTGGTTGGTAAATAAGATTCAAATGCCAACAACCCACATCAGAGCCAGACATTTCAAAGCCTGTTTTCTCGGTTTTGCAATTTCAATTACCTGGAACTGATCAATATGCAAATGTGTCATAACTCCGGAACAGGAAAGGCTACAGAGCTCTATCATATATCAAATGAAAGCTTACAATGTGGGCTTTCAAGTCATGTATATAACTTGATTTTTATATCACCTTTTCCTGGAGTGGGTCACATATTCAAAATACATGTACAGTTATTTACATCTACACTTCCACTACATTTAAATACACAGAACTGCTAATTTTTTAAGATGGGTGCTTTCATTTTGAACCTTTTTTTCTTCAAGGGACTTTTCAGCATTTAAGGACCATATCCGAGTTGTGACGTGCACAGGTCTGTCCTGCTATGAAGTTAGTCATTAACATGTGTTCCTTGTTTGCCATTCAGTGTTAAATGAGTAACAGTTTGACATTCAGCGAGCAATCAGCATACACACCCCTAACAAAGCGCTTGCTGGCATTCTGGTTGCAACACAGACGATGGAGTGCAAAAGGAACAAAACCAAAAAAACAAAAACACGTAGCTTGTTGACACTGTAGTACTACATGTCCATGTATGCCATTTCGCCATGATGTATACATGTACACACACACGCTCAAATGTGTATTTGCCTGCAACTGGGGACCCCCTATTGTTCCTCTTTTGTTTGTACTTTAACTTTTTTAGAAGACCACCCCTATGTTTTGTACACAGTTGTCAATCTGGGACCTTATTGTCCTCTATTGTTCAGGGTCCCCAATTGAATGCAGAAACAAACTCGTACACAACCCGGGCCGTGGGGTTTCTCGGGGTCGAACAAGGCCTCAGATGTAGGTGACCATTTTTTTAACACAAACATAATTATTCAAGGGAGAAACGGTCAGTTTTACCTGCTATTTTCATCAAAACTATTTCAATGGAAATATATACATCAAACCAATGCCCAGGGATAACCTTCCTTGAAAGTGTTTCTGGACTCATTAGGAACCCCGCTGCCTCCACGGCAATGAAGTTTTTCGTGGTTAAAACGGCTTTGGCTCAAATCTTGTTGATGGAATTCTTCGCTTGCAAACCACTTTGGGGCATCGCACTAAATTTTTCTCAAACTGAAATAAAATACCTAAACCCCAAGCTGATCCCATTACTCTCCTCAATCACTGATGATTCCTTGCAACCTGGGGCAAGGAGTTTTCTAGGGTCAAATAAGCCCTTAAATGCTGGCGGCATAGATTGTTTTTTGTCACTTTTGCACTCCATCGTTTCTATTGCAACCTGAATGCCAGCAAGGGCTTGTTATGGACCTATGCATGTCCCGAGCACTCGCTGAATGTCAAACCGTTACTTGTTCAGCACTGAACGGTCAAACACGGAATGAGAAATTAGTAACTAACTTCACGCCACCTACTGTTGTCTGAAATTTCCAGCCCAGGGAAAAATGAAAAGAAAAAATTGACGGTTGTCAGGTCGTCACAGAATGCGAGTGTACTGATTTGAGTAGCCACATGGGGCTTTTGCCAATATATGCAATCATAGCCTAGCCTACATCATTACATGTAGATACATGACGTAATCTGCATCATGTTGAGAGTTTTTTAATTTGGGGACTGTACATACATTATGTACACTACTCAAAAATAGTTAAGGACCACTTTTTTTTCGAAGCAATGAGTGGGATCTAGTTCTTTAATTTTTTGTTCGTCTAGATGGTGTTTCAATGGAATAAACTATTAAAAAATGATTCGAAACATTTGACTACAACTGAAACCAACCACACGTGAAATTGATTAGAATGTGTTTGAGGTCATTCAGGACAGGTGTATTGGGGTATTGTCAGCAGTAAAGTGTCTCATAAATAAAAAGTATACACAAAATAAAAAGTTCCTTAACTTTTTTGAGTAGTGTACATTTTGGGACCCCAAGTTTTTTGTCATTTGAATCATGTAAAACTGGTCAGTCTCCCAAAAGCTGATGGCAACACTCTTTTTATTGAGGTGACCCGTTTTTTAAAATTTCGAATTGTAAATTGTGAAACAATGTGACTTTCGTACTGATAAACCAGCCATGCCAATTTGACTCTACCATGTGTCATGTGCTAAAACACCCACAGTTTCCCCTCATAATTTCCTTCAAAACTCAGAACATAAGCACAATCAGGTTATAACGTTTAGTCATCTACCAAGGTGAATGCAAAAGTTATTGGAATGGGGTCCCCAAATATACAATCCCCTTCAATTCACAGTCTGAACAAGTTCGCAGTGCATGTACATGTAAGTAGCCCTACACCCTGAGCTACCAGTACCATAGACCCGTAAACAGGGCCCGACGAATACGACGGAGGAGTATTCGTCGGGCCCTGTTTACGGATCTACCAGAACCAGACCTAGTACTGAGAAGTAGTAACTGCCAAATCGATACGTTTGGCCTAGCCCAGGTTGGACGACGTCTTACATCGCAATGTAATGTAGACTGACAGGTACTGAGGTAGATGTCGTCCAACCTGGGCTATGTTTGGCCCAGCTTCACCATGTTGGAGGTTATACAACTATACTACGCTGACTGGAAAATGAAACTTTTTAAAAAATGAGCCACAAACCTCGACGTAACTGTTTCAAATCAACCACAGACAACTAATATAGGTAGATCAGGAGGAAAATGCGTTGTTTTCTATAACCCGGAAATAACGCTACGTGTGCGCGTGTACCTGTAGCATAAACAAGAGCTGGCAGCTTCAACAGCGCCCTCGCTCGTTGAAGACGAGCGGCAATGCTACGGTCGAGTTCCGGACTAGAGGCCTGGACTTGACACGGGTTTGGTGTTCTCGCGCTCGAACGGCGGGAACACGACCAAAGAACACAGATGAGTCTCGGATCGGACAGGATCACGCACCACCTCCTCGTCAGGGCTTTGCATGAACACACGGAAAAACTGTTGAGATTTTGATTTTGGAACAGCTGTAAAAACAGAGAGATGGCTTACAAAGCCGGAGACAGTGGAAGGCCTTGCAACCATTTTAACATTAATAACTGTTACGCTCCCACAAACTGTTCCCCAATATGCATGTAGGCCTACTGTACGTGTGTAGATTATACACGCTACTACGCCCAGCACTTAGCCCACAGCGAGCGCGCGATGACCATACACGTAGATTATACGGATTATACTGCAGCGCATTGCATTCCACGCGCGACCCCGTTGCTCTATGCTGCAACATGCCCTTGAACCGCAACTCCAAAGCACACTTCCAACTTAGTCATTTTCCCCCAAATCTTCGTCGGAGTCGATCCTACCAGTCGCACATTTGACCCGTACATTTGACCCACACAGACCCCGAACTCATACTGTATGTGTCCCGCCAAACCACACACCGCGTCCCGAAAGCCCGTGTCCGGTCACGGCACAGCGAGGTCAATTACCTCCGCTCACCCTCAGTTTTACCCCGTAAGAATTACGTGTAGATTTCCTAGCCATCCAGAGACTAAGTGTTGTACACAACCCAATGTACCGAGAAAGACTCACCCTTTCCTTTCCCTCGTTGACCAAGTCCCCCGTAGCTCACCCACGAACAGCCTTTCACCCTCCCGCTCCCGAACTTCCCGGACCTTATCGCTCTCCAGAAACTAAGTCAGCGAAGACCAAGTGTGTACAAAATCCCCATAGACTTTTTTCCATAGACATTTTTTACATGTATGAATTATTCATAATCACCCCAATCCAGTGCTCCAATTGGCTAAGACGCGGCCTCAAAAGTCCATATAAAGCGACCAGCTCCAACGATTGACATTGGTCTTCCCGAGCGGGCAGCTTTGGAGAGAAAACTCCCTGATCGTTCGTGAGTGTATAGCCCCTATATGAACAACCTTTCTATCACTCCCGAATAAATAGCTCAGACTTGGACGGGCAGTACTTGAGTAATACCCAGCCTTACTAGACGCAGTTGCTCATTGTAAATATGGAGAAGATGTAAAATAATTCTTCGGAATTAAACAGTAGTGTGTGTATAAGTCAGTCCAATGACTCTCATTCTTTATGATAACGGCTCCCTGTCCTATTAGACGTTACATAACTTTCCGTAATTCAGTCTAGTTAGGCCCCTATCCAAACTTTAACTTTCGAAGAACGTACAGCCATATAACCGGATTAATCAAACGGAACTTGTAGTTCGGTAATACTAGTGTCCAAGGAAAAGCATTCAGGACACTGGTTCTATAGGCCTACTTGAATATGCTTCATCTTCTTGGGATCCTCATTTTGAAGTCTGACATTCATCATCGGGAAGGAATACAAAGACTGGCCATTATCAGATCCATTTACAACAATTATCACGTCACCAGGGACAGGTACCTCGCTTCTCTCGAATCATAGGTGGCTTACCTTAGTGCAATGAAAAAAAAAACAGTCGATAAGTCATGCTCACTAAGATTCTGCCGGAATGAGCATTGTTGATGTACTGGTACCAGCAGAGGCTTTTTACTACAAACACGCGATCATCACGGGGACACAAATTTAAATTAAACCAGCTATGATGCCAGGACTATTTCCCTCAACAAAAGCTTCTCTTCATGCAGACAACGAAGGACTGCGTGGAAAAGTCTCCCATCTAGTATTGTTGAATCTGGAAACGGCATGCAACCTTTAGAGCTGAACTGTTTAAATTGCTCAGTGTTTATACAGAAGCTAGCGAAAACACGTCTATCTCCACGCATCAAACTAACCCTCAAGTTGATGAGATGTTTCCTGATGAAAGCTTCGCCGACGGGTTCAGATTCAGAACAAGGCTGAACCCCATTGCAGGCATAAAAGTTTCTACGGTGGCCCACAACTGTCACGTCAAAATTCAAGCAACAGTGCCACGGCACAAGCAACACACACAGGTCTAGTTCCGGCGGGGGTGGATGACGATCCTGGCCTACATGCACGGACACGCAAAACAAGAAAAATATTCTAGTGTCAAGGATGGCATGCATCCTGCATGCAAGCACACGGCAATGCAATCCACAAGTATAATGATTTAATTAATTCCAGGTTTTCCCATTTTATTCACTGACTGTGGCGAGCAAGGTGCTGTTTTCACCACACTGCATGCACACAGTAATAGTCCATATATCTACGACCAAAGCGGCCTTTTGAGGTGGTACATACATTGGGGCGGATCCAGACATTTTCCCGGGGAGTGGAATAGGCCCATCAGATTTTTTTTAATGCCAGTTAAGTGGATTAGAAACAAAAGCCGCAAACTACACAAACGATCCCTTGCGTCGCCAAGCTCTGGATACGGAGTACCTGTATAATAAGCTGGTGGGTCTTGACATTAACTCATCTCTCTGTCGCTGGGTTAATGATTTTCTCACTAATAGTAGTCAAATACTCAGATTACAAACGCCAGTGCCCCCCAAGGGTGCGTTCTGTCACCATTGCTACACTCCTTGTATAGGCCTGCTTGTGATTATGTTGCCTGATTTGATGATTGTAAATTGTAAAATACGCCAATGATGAAACTGTTATTGGGCTTGCAAAGAATGACGAGGAAATAATAAAATTCAGCTTTGACAAGTGTGCTGCTCTGACAACAACTTGAATCTGAACGTTACGAAGACAAAGGAGATCACTGCTGATTTCTGACCAAGACGGAATGAAGTTTTTTATGTTGCCATGGAGCAAATGTGGAAATTATGGATTATTTTAATTTTTCATTTGTCGAGCAGGTTTGCTGGAGTGTTCATGGTGAGCGTTGTATCAGGAAAGTTCAACAACGGATGTTTATCTCAGACGTCTGAAGAGCTTTAACTTAAGCGTCGTATCTGGATGTTGATTCGTGGACCGTAACTGAACTCTCTACCCTGGAACTTTTCCTATTCGAAACGGGCGTCTCACCCCTTGGTTTAAAACAGACAAAACTGTTAGCTCTGGAAACATCGGAGTGGTCTCATATTTGCTGACAGCGGTAAGTACATGTGCCGCGACCAATATCTTTTTTTTTTAATGAGGGACCCCTGTAAGTGCTTTGAAAAAATGTCTCCATAATGTCCTTTGCAACGTGGGCCTACTTTGAGTATAGTGTGCATAACGTATACTGAATGTGTTCGAGTAGTAGCTTTCAGGAGTTGCATGGGTTCAACCTCTGTCTCACAGCTTTGCTTGCTTGGCACAGATAGCACAGCCAATGTGCAGATTCGCACTCGGTAATCATGCAGATTGATGTCAGAGAGGAAATTAAGTGTACATGATAAATGCAATGTTAAAGCATGGTTTGGGTTTCTGCTGTAATTACACTACGCACCTCTGTATTGTCGCAAATAGTACTTTTACAAAGATTCTCTGTTGTCGAGTATTTTGTTATTGTAATGACAAATGTAACTTTCAACAGAGTTTTTACAACACCTGAAACCCCAATTGTTTAGTAAACGCGTTCTGTGAAAGGTCTTTAGCAAACGCTACGGCACTGTTAACTGGAAGCATTATTTAAACTTTTGTTAACCGATCCTGAAAGACTACAAGAATTCTTTTCTTCAGATGCGCGAAAAGTGTCCCATACCGGCTGCATTGCAGCATGATGGATTTGGAAAAAGAGTAAGGGTGATTCACACGTTCGCCTTTTACCGAATCGCATTGTTGGAAAACGGTCCAAAAATATCTAGAGTTCTATTCGTCAGCTGTTTTGTGAGCGGGACACTTGGTTTGTTCCCAGTGTTTGCTTGTCTGGGATAAGGATTTCAAAGTGTTGTTGAGAATCGGTCTTAATTAATCAGAGTGGTGGTTTTTCCGGAGGTAAGGAATACCCCGATCAAAAAAAAAAATAAAAAAATAAAAATCCGCATGCCCATCGACATTCACTCCAACACAAGTCGGGACGAGTCTGCCAAGTTTTTGCCGACGGTTAACTTGAAAAATGACCTTTCTGTGGCAACCTCTTGGTGGTGTTCCGTATCCGCCTTGAGTAGAAGCTGCCCTCATAGGTTGAAAAGAGCCATGCTGCTCGAGAATATTTACTTTGTGACAGTGACGCGCGCGTTTCCTAGTTGTTCATGAACCAGCAAAGTTCAGTTCTGGCCCAGGGAACTGGACTGGTCCCCGTCCCTATCACATAGGGACCGTAGCTAGCGAGCTTCTGGGGTCTGTGGTTGGTTTACCTCTGCGCATGCGCGCTTTCTTTTTCTATTATGGAGGAGATATTCACAAACAACCCTTCGTGCACGTGACAGCTGAATAAATGGCTCTCGGGAAAACTGACAGCTGATAGCCTCCGTTGCTAAGAAAAAAGATCCCTCTTTTAAAGTTCAGCCCGAGGATCATAGACCACTCTCATTATTGTCCCTGAGTTATATTAGCGGTCAAAAGTTGCAGATGTATCACCTTTTTTTTGATTTCACCCCCAATTCGTTCAAAATGTACAACTATCCCATTGATTGTTAAATAGGGTTGTTTTGTTTTTTTTTCTAATTATGTATTCAGTAATAACCCCACGTGTATAGTTATCTGGAGTTCTGGCAGCCTGCGTGGGATTTTTATCACTTTGTGATCTGTTCTTTTACTTTTACACCGACGGCCTGCCATACCTTTAGCAGCCACTTGTAGGGAAAACACGACTATGACGTCAAAGGAGCAGACCCTATTGTGAATCACCCGTATTCTAGCGGGGGTCTGCAACAGAGCCAAATACAACTGGGAACATTCAGGGGTGTCCTGTTTCAAATTTGTATTAGTGGACTACACATGGACAAGGGCAAATCCAAGACCAAATTTCGGATGGGTAATTTTTTTAAGCGGGGGGTTTTAAGAAATTTCTAAATGGAACATTTTTGGTCTTTCTATGAGACGAGGTTACATTAGGCGTCTTTATATTTGCTTTGGAAGGAAGAAATTAAGTAGTAAAAACCAACACCGTTCATTGTTTTCAACATCAATAACCACCCCCCGACACACACACACCGATCGGTGAGCAAGAAGAACACGCTCAGCTCTAGTACAAACTGATACAATTAATTACAAGACAGAACATTTACTGCTGATACTAATAAAAGACTTTATTTCACAGCAACGGTAGACTTACTACAAAGGAAACCAGAGGCGCCCCGTTTGGAAAGGATATGATTTAGGCTAAACATATATTTTGTGACCAAATTGCACGTAGGGTGACGTCACCCTGCCAGCTGATTTTTGTTAATCAACACGCACGTGGAATGCATGTATAAACTACCACCAGCTCAGCGTCCAGTACATAGACGTCAAACAAAACATACACCGGACGAGGCCTCTCTGCAGCCTCGTCCCCATGGGCTACCCTTGTGTGTTCTCTCCCTTTCGCGCAAGGTAGAGTGTTGTAACCAACATGATGCAGCGAGATAATATACTTAAGGGAACGAAGCTTGCTTCGTCTGGCCCCCATTATGTTTTTCCTAGGTGTGCCTGCATAAACAAGTTACGATTCTAAGAGAAGTTAATTTCCTTGTACGCAGTGAATAGGACGTGTGCAAGGTGGAGTTCGGAGGATTGTACGGAGTTCTGATCACATATATTTCTGGTAAAACCGGTATTTATGCGGATATGTGACTGATAACAGTTTGACAACTCACTATTAAACATCAGCTTTTGGAAAAAGGTATTACAGGTTGAACGTCAACCAAGTGAATACAGGGTAGTATTTATCAAGTAAGATGCGATGAAACAACTACATTCACCAACATTTTCGTCTTAGAGAATTAACAGACATCTGCATTCAGTAAGAGCCCTCAAAACTCTTGGATTAAGTTTCGCCTGTCGGGAGTGAAGTCTGGTGGATTACTGGCACACCTTAGGGACACCTTTCCTGTTACAGAGGCAAGGGTTGCCGTACTTGTCAATGCAATCTGCAAAGGGGGAGAAAACAAAAACATGTCAAATCAAGGCAAACTCAAGCACTCGATGAAAATAAGGAACCAACAGTAGCACCGCCCACGTCTCTCCCAAGTTGAACGGGGCCTCGATCCCAAGTTGACTGAGGCATTCATCGATTGGTGCTAGACTGAAGGAAATGCGGTCATCCCTTTTGCGTTATAAATCACTTGAACCCGCAAATGCATTTAACCTTGTACGTTGTTGTAGACATACCATATATGAGCCTTTTTGCTAAAGCGACGAAAACAACCGGGTCTTAAGGTCAGTTAATACTGCAAGCGAATGCGAAGGCGAACCGAATTTGACGTCACGAAGAAATCCGCAGCGACATTTCGCTCGAGTTGAAACGTGTTCAACTTTTACGAATTTGCCACGCGACTTTTGCATCAGACGTCACAAATTTACGTTCGCTTTCGCTTTTGCACGATGTACGAACCGGCATTAAAACGTGGAGCTGCTCGTGCTTCTGCAGTCAAGACACATGCAATGCATTCTGCACGAATGCCACACATAAAGCCGATCCGAACAACCGTTTGCTTCTGTCACAAGTATTTTATTTCATAATTTTGCTCGGGAAATACAAAGATTCTTGAGGGGCTTGGGTTTTGGTTTAGATATCGCAACAATGGCGCTGCCAACGATTCGGTTGGATGAAACTACCGACGCACGACGCACGGATGAAACTACCAACTAACAGTAGCATTCGATTTTACAAAGCTCCTCAAATCAAAGGCTTTCTCATATGCTCAGGAAATCGATGCGAAGGCAGTTTTAGCGCAAAAGTCTTAACCACCCACCACCATTAAAAATCAACAAGACAAACAGACCTTCCACTTTCATATCGGTAGGATATATCTGCATAGTCCAAACATTTATGTTGGCATGATTTCAAAAGTCCTGAATCGTTTGCAGATACTCACGGTGGTAGGCAGCCTTCTTGCCCCTTTTTACCATCTCAACGAGGGCGTCGTCCTCGAAGCCCTCAAAGTCATCATTATATTCGGCCATGACGAATGCAGTCAGCACGGCCAGAGCGAAGATCACAAAGAACACCTTGGCAGCCATTTTGCTTTGTTCTCTGTCAGAGCAACAAATACTGAATTGAGTTCAAATGAATGATATCTTTACTTGCCACCAAAGCAGTGGCGTATCCAACAGGGGACGGAGGGGGGTACATACCTCCCCCGACGGATTTTTTTTCCTTTTATAAAGAATAGTGTCGTAAATTAGAAGGGAAGAAATTAATCGGTATATATTTATTTATCAAATATTACCATCAAACTCTAAGAACCAATATCAGCAAATAAAAGCAAGGATGTCGTGACCGTGGGTACGGCTTTTGCCTCCCCCAACATCTTGTTGAATAAGCCCGAGCCGCATTCGCTTTTGAATTCACCACCCCCACTTCAAAAGTTCGATACGCTGCATACAAGTCATACATGTAGATAAGCCATTCATGTTGATAAAAAAATCTCGGAAAACATGTCCAGAAATAGCCTGTTCCACTCCTTTTAGGTCTGATGACGTACAGAAGATGCAGTCCTTCTTGAGAAATAGCCAGTGATGTCCTCTCACAGTGAGCGACATCACCATTTGCGACAGAGACGGCATGTGCAACTCGGACGACATACTTTTTTCCAAGATCAGTGACACCCCTCTCCGTCATGAGTGTATTTCGTAATAGTCCAGGACAGCGAAATGCAGTTCCCTCCAAAGGAGCCTCCGTTGTCGGGACATCGGCGTCCTCTCTTGGTCCAGCTTGGGACTCACTGGGTCCGGATTAGTGTGAAAACAGTCTTGATAGTAGGCTGTCCCCTTTCGGCTGAGAATTAGTGGTATGATAATTTGTCGGATATTGCTTGTTGTCTGTAAACACCACAGATGTGGTGATAGACCAGTGAACGTGGCGATGGTACACACAGCCACGCTTTAATGTCAAACCCTCTAAATTCTGGCCCTGACTGCAACTGGAGAATTTTCATTTAAGTCCAACGAGCACGTGCATGTTCACTATTTACATAATAGGCGACCCAGAAGCTGTAGTTCCAAAGAAAGTGGAAGGGGTGTAGAGGCAATATACGAAGGTGTAGACATTTTGTTTTACCGACATTTTGAAAGACTACGCAAGTACGCATTGTACCCCGAATTCTTTACGTGCCTAGTGGCGTGAATACTTCAGGTTATCCACTCTTGAATAAGTAACCTTTTCCCAATGGTGTTGCACAGCGCTATGAACTCTGCCACAGGCCAAGCTACAATTAAACCGCTCGGACCGAGTTTAACTGTCAAAAATGATGCGCATGCACTTCGGTAATAAATTACAGTTGGGCGTGTTCAAGTTTACCGCGTGAGGCATATTGGAATTGCCTAGTGAGGCGTATGAGTAACCTGGTGAGGTAACTTGTGTGTGATGTGTCACGTAAGAGTTCAATCAAACGCAGTAGCAATTGCACGATTGAAAACGGAAGAAGTAACCGAAACCTCTGGAGAGGTAGAGAGTACCCCACATTGTAGTCAAACAGACTGAAACCTTTGTCAGAAGAACAGGCACACTATTGGCAATAAATCAGGAGAGCAAATGAAACAAAGGTGCCAAATCAAGACGGTGAAAACATGTGCAGATGAAAAAGCAAAATTAGGATTTTGAAAATGATAGATACAAGCATTCAGTACCGTGCCACATAAATATTTCCAATCGATCTTACTGATTTGTTTCCACAGCCATAGCTTGTATTTGGACATAAACGAGACAAACTTGTTTTTTGTGACGACGCAGCAAAACCCTTGCCTTTTTCTGCCGTTTAAGTAGAACTGTAGAGTCCTCTGCAGAAGTGCAGATGTAAGAAATGTGGGTGTAAATAAGGAGAAACATTTCAATAAATGTTAGATAAAGGGCGTGGGAGGTAAAAAATATCAAGATCGCTGCAAGCCATGCAGACTGTGTAGATTGCTATGAGATCCTAACTGGAGCGCGTTTTAGGGGAGAACAAAGGGTGCACTTTTTTTTACCAGGGGTATCGAAAGCCGACGAACCCTTGCTTGAGCTAAGGTTGGGTGCATTTCAAACTTTCAAGCTGAGCATGGGGGAAGCAAGGGGCACTGAACTTTGGTAATAGGGGAGGGATGCACAGCCCCAGTGCCATCCTCCCGAAGTAATGCCTCTCAGTAGATCTCATTGATTCATAAACTTCTTGCAGAGGTTGGGAGTTCTTTCTCATCATTCATATGATGGAATGCCCCGCCTTTCTTTACATCTGCACTCCTACCGAGAAACTAGCAGTGTTACTTTGACGGCAGAAAGAGGCATACGTGGATGTCATTAAAGCTAAACAGCGTAGGAAGCCATAGGCCTATAGTCCGTGAAAAATGGTGGATAACTATTAGGCCTACTGTAGTCAGCAAATGGTGTTATTGGAATAGAATTTATTCCATAAATAATTGTTACGCGTTCGATGTTTGACCACAGTGACACAAAGTTGAACACTGCATATGTTTTAACAGTGGCAAACGTTTTTTAGCCCGTATTTATGAATACCTCGGACGGTCTCTCTATTCAACGTGCAACTTGACCGTTTTTTCTGCAGCTCGGGCATTAGTCGCGTCCATTCTCCAGAGCCAGTCTTAAACGCACCTTTGAGACCGGCCTTGCACCTAATTTTATTCCCTTATTTTAAAACAATACATGTACATGTTGATTCCTGTCTTCAACATATCGTCTGCGTTTGATGCCACTTTTGCATCTGCGCATTGTGCAGATGTTCCTAAACTTCTGGCAAAATTTTCCGTTTAGCTAGAATCGTTGAGTCAAGACGAAAACCAATAAGAAATCATTCAAAAAATTAGAACATGATCCTGAAAGGCTTTAGGATTCAACGAAACGGAGAAGTTGTGAGATAAAAGCAGAAACGAAGATAAAATGCTTCTGTACAACAGTTAAATTTAGACAGATTTCCGAAAAAGCCTCAAAACTGAGCTTTGTGACGTGCGGTGCATTACCAACAGGAAATGCCTTAAACCAAAATATCTGCAAAGCTATCCTGCTCTCTGTCGATCTCTCACTGGAGACGGACATGGGGGAGCTTGTTTTTATCGTAACTCAGCTTAAAACCCCTTGCACCGAGGTTAGCTGACTTGATATGGTCATAAGGAGACAGAACAAGTGAAGTTAACATATGAGCATTTCAGTGTTCTTGCATTTGTCTTTTTCGTCAATTTAAAGAAGCACTCAGAAGTATTCAGTGGCACAGGCGGCTCCTTTTGATGCCCAATACTGAAATCACAAAGAAAGAAGTGAAGACTTACCGTTGTGTGGGTGCGTGGACGCAAAAGTTCAGCGAGTGGTCTGTGAGTTGACGCTGCGTTTGCCGTACAGCAGGCCCCGCTCGAGCTTTTATAGGGTTCCAATGGGCTACTTCAAGTGGGAAGTCCAACCGATGTCCACTTGACATGTGTCTGGCCCTTCAGAGGGCAATATGTCACTTTCTGCTTCGGTGATGATAATCATTACAGAATCGAACTTAACCAAGCACGTCGTCAGATTCGCCTGTGCATCCACTGTATCGTGTGCTGCGCAACGAGACGTCTCAATTCCAAAGCATAATGCCTTGTGGATTAAAAAAGGTAAACACTGCATGGCTTTCACAGAATGTATAAAGGCCGGTTCATACAAAAGGCGAAGTGAAAGCAAAGCGAATTTGACGTCACGAACAACAACAATATTTCCTTCGAGTTGAAATGTGTCCAACTTTCGCGAATTTGCACCACAAATATTTTCATCTGACCTCCCATACTTTCGTTTGTGTTTGCACGAAGCATGAACCACTTTTTAAGATATTTTGCGATATAAAAAGGCTATATATCCCCTGGATGCCAGTTATTTTTCTAGTTAGGTTTGGCAACAAACAGTATAACCTAAAGGGGGATCAGGAGATATAGGTTTATTTGATCAACATACATGACTTGTATAACTACACTGTATTCATGTATCCTCTTTTTAACAAATTTCACCCCCGACCTGTTTAGACATTTACGCTGAATTGTGTTTAGGAATGTTCTTAAATGCTAAGCAGGTTTCATAAAGCTGAACGTCTACCATGGAAAGGTGTTTATTATTGAAATACATTCCAAAGGCTGCTTTTCAATAAACATGTCGTGGGTAAAACTTGTTAGAAAGTGGGTAGGCCTACAAGAAGTGTTTAAACTCTAAGCATTGTTTTGCAGTGTAAAAATCATCCCAGTTTATATGCAATCTACGTGAAAAGCCCTGATGTTTTCCTTCATTTCACGCTTTGGTCACGGCTAATTGATCAGGTATAATCTGAATTGGACAAAAGTTGGGTTTACTCTGGGAAATTGCCGTCCCTTTAAGCACATGTTTAGACTAGTTCATATATGGTTGGTTATGATCGAGCCCCAAGCTGGACCAAAGAGGGCGCAATTTTCTAGGCAACAGTGGCTCCTTTGGTTGGAACTGCACTTCGCTAGTTCACAAACGAATATGGAATGCTGGCATTACAGGCGCATCGCTACCACCAAGGATAGCTCCCCACCATTATGGCTCTTCTCAAGCGATGAGGGGTGTTCTACTCATGGTGGATAACAGGTCCGTTTTACTCTCACCCTATTTTCGATGGGGCGTGGTGCATGTGCCCGAGATGGGCCACTCCCTCACCCTGAGGTGGCTGATAGGATCACAGTAAGGGGTTACACCTCACTGTGAATCACCCCTCTCAGTGGGAAGACCAAATCCTTGGACCTCAACTCGCACAATTTCCTTCTGATGGGGTTTATCCTACAGCACTGGGGCGAATATTGGACAGTTTTTGGCAGTGTTGCTTTATTTCCATGTGGTTTGAAAAATTCAGTTGTTTCGACAGACACTACATGTACTTTTATTTAACCTATATGGTGCCATCTACCACTTGCAAAGCAATTAGGACAAGGTAAATTCAGATGCTCCCTGCTCAATCATGCGCGTGACCACAGGCATCATCCACTTGGTACCAAACCAATGGGAACAAAAGAGCCTTCAAATAAATTCTACATTTTTCGAGCAAAATGAATACTTTTGAAGGTCTTCCCCGAAAAACCTGGTGATGTGACTACCAGTAAGCAGTAGCGTAAATTCGTGTCGGATTGAGTGGATGGAGAGTTGTAGGGGATGACTTGCCCGGTCTCATTAAGGAACGGTGGTTGCTAACACATTTGACACAAGGTGGCGATGTTCATGATACAGATGTATATCTGTAATACGTATTACATTTCTGCAGAAACTTACAGCAAATTCATTTTTTTATTTTAACTTTTATTGCTTTCCCTTTATGAGATCTACTAAATAAAGTTGGTTGTTGGGAAGTCCGTAACATTCTTTACAATCTGCTTTAGTTATTCGCACCACGAAAAAGTTGGGGGGTGGGGCAAAAGCTCATTTCCCAGGTCAAAGAAAAAGGGGGAAAATATCCCAATCACCTGGGATTTGCGACCATGCCAATAAGCCTCGAGAAACAAGAAATACGAAAAGTAAGGTGGCTCAAACGACGAGTTGCAGTTATCACTGTCTTGGAAAATGAGCGCTGTTTTACGTCCTTTTTTAGAGTTCTGTGACAGTTGCGGATATACTCTCCATCCAGGCCCAGACACTGATCAGGCGCTGTTCAATCCCATAGAGCTGACTGTGTATTACGTCAAGACAACTTCAATTTTCGACATGCCCGAAATGCCCGAAATCAACCAATGTGCAAGTAACATCTGAGGGAATCACCCAAAGTGACTATGTGGCGCACATCCCTCTGGCTAGGTTCAAGACGTCTTATTTCAGACATGAATTCTTGAAGTACGTGCATAAATTTGGCTTGTCACGTCATCGTGAGTCGTTGCATGGAAAATATGTTAGCTGCAAGTCCA